CCTCAATCCATATTGGAGGCTGCAGTCCTTGACCCTCTGCAGCAAGCACTTCAGGTCTTCCTCAGCTTCAGCAAGCAGGGTTGTGCCATCTGCATAACACAGATTGTTGATAGATCTTCCACCAATTTCTATGACAAAATTTTTTGAACCACTGTGTTCAAGCAGAGAGCTTCAGAGTAATTTTTCTTTGATATCCATACAGTTAGCCAACTTAGAAAACATCACCGAGATAAATTAATTTCAATATAAACCTAGATAGCCACAATACATTAAAATACAAAACATACCTGATTTTTTTTAGCCAAATTACATTCTATTTCTTTTGTGATTTGTTTTTAAAAGACACCTTCTTTCGCTCTCTATCTCCCTGGGATTGTATCTCTGCAGAAAGCCTGATCCAATTTTCCTGGAACGAGACACAAATCAGTAGTAGCTTGTTTTCTTTTATAAGAAACAACCATAATTCTACTGTCTTAAGTTTGTTTTTTTTCTAAGATAGACCCTATGAAAAAGATTTGAGTGAAAGTAAGTTATTTGGGAGACCATTGCCTGGGAAAGTAAGAGTTCAAGATAAAACGATGCACAGCTAGTTGGCAACCACTGAAAGGTGGTGTGGAGAGCACCTCAGAGTTGGCCACTTGAGGTTCAGGAAGCTGAGGTAATTATGCATCATGTACATCATCTGTCAGAAGGCTGCTCCTGGGGACTTAGCTAGTGCTTCTGGTCTATCTAAATGTAGGTAGAAAATGTGCAAAAGTAACCACTATTTGAGTATAGAGAAACGGCAAACATTTAAGGTATATGAAAGGACTCTCACCAGGGCAGATGCACGTTTAACTCAGTCAGTGGAACATTCATGCAAGAGCATACAAGAGAATTGTCTCTTAGCCACAGTGTCAGGCATGTGGGGAAAATACTGGTTAACTAGTTAAGCTGAACTCAGTTTAAGAGAAAACTTACTATGTTCCATCAAGTTAGAAATGACTCAGAGATGATCCTCCAGCAGATTTTCAGAGGCTGTAACTACATGCAAGGAGAAAACACATTTTCCTCCCACAGAAAATTCAGTGGAGTTGAACTACTCACCTTTAGATTGGCAATTCCTTTGTGACTAAGCTACCAGAGCTCCCTTCACAAGAATAACTTGCTTTAAAAATTGAAAAACACTTCAATGCCATAAACATATTTCATCCAGTTTTTCTCAGTCTTACCCCCACCCCAGTGCCAGCCTCATTCTATAACAGTGGCACCAT